AGAAATGGCAGTGATGCAGTAAAATTATAAAAAGAATTAGCAGCTTGGTAAATTTAAAAAGTCACAAAATAAACTGAATAATACTTTAAAAAAACAGAAAAGACCAAATGAAAAATGAAGTATAAAAATTCACTGAAGAAAAGAACTCCTTAAAAAACAAAATTGGCCAAGTGGGAAAAAAAAAAAGTACAAAAGCTCACAAAAGAAAATAATACCTTAAAAAATAGAAGTGAGCAAGTGGAAGTTAGTGATTCCATGAGAGATCAAGAAACAATAAAACAAAGTCAAGATAATGAAAAAATAGAAGAAAATATAAAATATCTCACTGGAAAAACAACTGATCTGGAAAACAGATCAATGAAAGAAAATTTAAGAATTATTGGAAACTACCTGAAAGCAATGAGCAAAAAAGAGTCTAGACATCATATTTCAAGAAATGGCAAAGAACTGGAAATTGTAGGGATGCCCATCAATTGGAGAATGGCTGAACAAGTTGTGGTATATGACTGTGATGGAATACTACTAAGCTATAAAAAATGAGTTCAATGGTTTTAGAAAAACATGTAAAGACTTAAACGAAATAATGAAGACTGAAATGAGCAGAACCAAGAGAACACTGTATACAGTAATAGCAATATTATTTTAAGAACGACTTTGAGCAAATAAGTTATTTTGCCTATTACAAATACCCAAATTAACTATAAAGGACATATGAAAAAAGACACTCTCTGCATCCAAAGAAAGAACTGATAAATAGAAACATGTATAGGATAATTTTACATGTATATATCTATCTGTGTCTAATGGTAGCCTTCTCTAGGGAGGGGGGAGGGAAGAAAAAAAAGAAAAAGAAATTTACATGATAATTATCTTTTTTAATTGTACTATATTGTGGAAATGCTTGTTTTATTCCATAAATTAAAATTTTAAATTTAAAAAAAGAAATTATCAGGAAAACTAGAATCCACTGATCATCTCCTATAAGAAATCCAAAAATGAAAACTTCCAGGAATATTATAACCAAATTCCAGTACCCCAAGAAAATATTTCAAGCAACCAGAAAGAAACAATTCAAATACCATGGAGCCACAGTCAGGATCACACAAAATTTAGCACCTTCCACATTACAGGAGCAGAGGGCTTGGAATATGATATTCTGGAAGGCAAAGGAGCTAGGATTACAACCAAAAATCACCTAACCAGCAAAACAGTATACAGGGGGAAAAAGAATATTTAATGAAATAGATGACTTTCAAGCATTCCTGTTGAAAAGATCAGAATGAATAGAAAATTTGACATTCAAACACAAGACTCAAGAAAGGCATAAAAAGGTAAACCATAATACATTCCTATATGAGATGATACATATAACTCCTAAAAACTATTATTAGGGCAGTTAAAAGAAGTTTACCTTAGAGAGACAGTATGGAGTGAATAAATTATGTTGGAATGATTTTCAAAAACAATGAAGGGATGAGAAAGAGGAATACGCTGGGAGAAAAGGGAAGGGAGAGGTAGAAGAGGTGCTCAAGGAAGAACTTTTATAGTGGAGAGGAAAATGGGGGGGTGGGCAATGCTTGAACCTCACTCTCATCAGAATTGGTTCAGAGAGGGAGAATGTATATACATGCTCAGTTATGTATAGCAATGTAAATTACCCAGTAGGGAAATAGAAGTAAAAGGGGATAAGGGACTGGGGTGAGTGTGTGGAGGGGTGATAAAAGGGAGCACAAATTAAGGGAGGCAATAGTTAGAAGCAAAATAGAATTTTGAGGAGGGATAGCAGAGACAGACCCAAACACAGAGAGTAGGAAGAAGAGGAGGAGGAGAAGAAGAGAGATGGAAAGAAATACACAGTATCATGAATGTGAATGGGGTCACCCACAAAACTGAAGCAGATAACAGAATAGATTAGAAACCAGAATCCAACAATATGTTGTTTACAAGAGACACACATAAAATAGAAAAGATACACACAGAGTAAAGGTAACAGGTTGGAGCAGAATCTAATATGCTTCAGCTGAACTAAGGTAAGGCAGGGGTAGCAATCATGATCTAAAACAAAGCAAAAGACCTAATTAAAAGGGATAATCAGGGAAATTACATTTGTTAAAAGACACTATAAATGAAGAAGCAATATCAAAAAATTTTATATCAGGTTTCTTTGATAAAGCCCTCATTTATCAAATATACATACTGAGTATAGAACTGAATCAAATTTATAAAAATAAGAGCCATTCCCAATTGATAAATGGTCAAAAGATCAAAAAATGCAGTTTTCAGAAGAAATTAAAGCTATCTATAATCACATGAAAAATTAATCTAAATCATTGTTGATTAGAGAAAGGCAAATTAAAACAACTCCAAGGTACCACCTCACACCACTCAGAAATGACAAATGCTGGCAGGGATCAGAGAAAAACAGGTTCACTAATGAACCATTGGTGGAGCTGTGCACTGGCCCAACCATTCTGGAAAACAACTTGGAACTTGGCCCAAAAGACTATAAAACTGTGTATACCCTTTGACCCAGTAATAACACTACTAGGTCTGTACCCCAAAGAGATCAGATAAAAAGGAAAAAGACCTTGTATGTACAAAAACATTTATATCAGCTCTTTTGTAGTGGCAAACCACTGGAAATCAAGGGGATGCTCATCAATTATGGAATGGCTGAACAAGTTATGGCATAATTGTAATAGAGTGCTATTGTGCTATGGGAAATGATGAGGTCGGTAATTTCAGAGAAATATGGCAAGACCTATATGAACTAACGCAAAGTGAAGTGAAAACTGGGAGATGATTGTGTATAGGAATAGCAATATTCTAAGGATAATCAGCTGTGAAAGACTTGGCTACTCTGATCAATACAATGATCCACTACAACTCAAAGGACTAATGATGAAAAAATGTTATCCACCTCCAGAAAGAGAACTGTTGAACTCAGTGCAAATTAAAGCATAATTTTCCCACTTCATTTTTCTTGCTTTTTAAAAAAATTACAGCTAATATGGAAATGTTTTGCATGATTTCACATGTATAATTGATATTATATAGCTTGCCTTCTCAGTGAGTGGATGAGAGAGTGGCAGGGAGAGACATAATTTGGATCTCAAAATTTAAAAGGCAAAGAATGTTAAAAAATAAATTTAAGAAATTTAAAATATATTTACAGATGAGTAAATATAGGTCATATGTAAAGTGGTTTGGAATGGGGTGAAAACTGGGGGAATCATAAAAGGCCTTTTGAAGGAGGTGCCACTTGAGCTGAGGCTTGCAGGTGACAGAAAAGATTATTTCTCTCGCATATAACCCTAACCCTAATTATTGAGTTAGGAAGAGAAGTTTTTCAGAAGTCTGTTGGTTGTTCAGTCCCTGAAGGATATTGCTTATAATGACAGTGAATTAATTTTCTCCTCAATCTTGTTCAGACCCCACTCTGACGGGGAAGCCCACTGTGCTCTACACAGGTTTGGGTGGGGATAAATTCTTTGATTAGATTGCCCAAGACTTGGCAATTTAGAATTAAATGACAGAATCAAAGTTATATCCCTTCCTGTCCCCCATTGCCCTCCCCCAACAGCCCCTCATTAGAATAGTGTACCTTTCATTGCAATATTCATTCTCATTCATTGTTAATCAGAGTTCATTGCCAACCTCAGGAATATCCACTCTTCTGTAGCCACCACCATGATTAGTCTTTAGCATTTGAGAGCGTCGCTGACTCATTTTATTAGTAATATGCTAGCATTATTAATAAAGTGATTAATTACCCAGAAATTATGTCTCTCGAAACTTTTAAGACAGTGTCAGAGGTCAAGAGGGAGAGAATTCCAGGCATGGGAGACAACAGCCTGTGCAAAGACACAGAGAAAGGAAATGGCATGTCCCATGTGGAGAATAGCATGTTTGGCTGGAGCATGGGGAAAGTAATATGTAATCAGCCCAGAAACATAGGCAGGAACCAAATTGTGAAGGCTTTTAAATGCCAAATAGGAGACTTTATCTTTGACCCTAACAGCAATGGACAGCCACTAAAGCTTTTTAAGCAAAAGAATGACATGTTCTGGCCTGTTCTTTAGAAATATCAATTTAGCAGCTATATAGAGGATGGATTGTAGAAAGGGAAGATCTGGATAAAGGGACACCAACTAGGAGACTAATAACATTAATAAGCAATATTTACATAGTGCTTACAACAAATACTATGTTGCCAGGCATGGTGCTAAGTACTTTACAATTATTATCTCATTCGATCCTTATACCCTGGGAGATAGGTGCTATTATTATCCCCATTTTACAGATGAGGAAAGTGAGGCAAACAGGTTAAACGGTGGGCTTAGTCACTGAGCTAGTAAGTGTCTGAGAGTATATTTTTTAATTCAGGACTTCCTGCCTCCAGGCCTGATACTCCATCCATTGCACTACTTAAAGGCCTTATGGCTATAACCCGGCAAGTGGTGATGAGAGGTTAGACTGGGACATGAAACTGTAAGGAGTGGTCAGGTGGGCTATAACAGTAATCCAAATTTTAGAGTGAGTCATTTTGGCTCTGTATGGTTCAGTATACAGTTCAGTTCACAATAATTCTTATGAAAAGATAAATGTTGTAAGCTAATGATTCCAATTATTAATATTCTAATTAGAAATGTAAGGGCAGATTGGTGGTGCAGTGAACAGATTATATTGTTTACTTCCTAAAGAAAGTTATGTTTAAAAAACTATATTTCAGGACTTTGGTAGTAGAACAAGGAAAGAAAAAAATCAATATTTGTACTTTTCCTGGAGTGGTCATGTTCAGTGTAAGGGGTCAGAGCAATCAGGGTTATAATGATTAATCAATTATCTTGATTTTTAAATTCTTACTGAGAAAGTAAGGCTTGTTTGGGAACATAATTTGAATCAATTTTTCGGGTCAATTTCCATATCTGCAGCCCAAGGTACTTTCTTTGGGGATTCTAGAGTTTAACTCGTCTTTCACAAATCCTTGGGTTTCATACCCTCAGAACTCCACAAGGAATCACTCCGAGGAGAATGTCGGGCCGCCCCCAGTGCAGCAGAAGTCTTGCCAAAGCTCCACCCTTGGGAAGCCGGGCCGAACACAGACCCTGACCACAGCACGACCTCCCTGCTAGGCCGCTTCCGAGGTCCTCTGGCTCAACGGCCTCCGTCCTGAACTGGCATCTCAGGCTACGAGGCCTTAATACCCTCGCCAGGAACAGTCTCCTCCTGACCTTGCAGGGCCCGCTAGGGCTTCCCGTCACGCGCTCTCTTCCGGCGGGTGCGGGCGCGCATGGCAACAGCAGCCTCTCCAAGAGCAGGCGCTACGGAGCAGTCCGCGGCGTGCGGCAGCTGCGGCAAACCGCCCCAACCTGCCACCCGTTTCAAGCGCTGGCTCTGCGCACACTCGCTTCCCCTCCCTTAGCCCGCCGCCAGACGCAATAAGGCGGTGCCCACTGAGTCACGGGTCACATGAACGTGCGGAAAAAGGAGGGAAAGGGAGGGCCTGCAGCTGGGACCGCCACCGGGAGTGGAAATTTTCTGAAGGTCTTGGCTAGCCACCCGCAGGCCCCACCCACTCTTCCAACGTCCCAGCCCTTCCGGCACTGCCCCGCTCGTCTTTCTCGCCCCGCCCCATCCTGCTTCGAGCCCCCGACTCTGGCGCTTCTGGGCCAGGCGGCCCTCCCTGTCTTTGAGCCTAGGTTCTCTGCGGCTGGCGGGGCGATGAGGCCTGCCTCTGGCCAAGCAAGTGACCGCTGGGGATCCGCAAGGGGCACTTTGTAGTGCCCCGGTCTTAACTGATGCCGGGGAGGGGGACACAGTGTTGGAGAAACTGAAAAGGTGATCCAAAATGGATTTGTTTCTGATCTGCTTTTAATACATATGTTCTTTAAAGTTTCGTCACTGAAATTCTGGCAGTTTGATGCTATTGTGCAAATTAATTAACCTTTCAAGGTCCCAGATAACTAACAAAATTGCGGAGCAGTTGCAGATCCGCCTTTAGGACTAAATAACCTTTCCCCACTGGAAATTTTCTATACCAATGAACTCAGGTCTCAAACAGTAGAATAATGGAGCTTTTTCTCCTACCCTTTAATTATAATCTTTATCTCAATTTATTTTTCTGTTTACAAGAATTCCCTGTGACAGCAACATTTTTGTCCAAACACTGCAAGAGACCCACACATATTAAATCGTAAGATATGAGATAGTCATTTGTGTTTTATGCAAACTCAATTCGAAACCCAACAAAAACTAATAGATTTTTCCAGGGAGGTTAAACAGACTTCCCAGGGTGTCACTGCAAAGAGTGGACAACAAAGTTCTTGGAAGACCACCTGGAGTTCACTTGGGCTGGGATGCAGCAGTCTAACTTTGGCAAAAGTCCCAGTGACTTCAGCCAAAGCAGTGGGAGTTTTACCTGAGTAAGGATCTCAGATCCAAACCATATTAATACATGGCTTCCTTTTAGGGAACAAGAATTGCAGGTATGTTAATGATAATAAAACTACTCCCGGTTTCTGGCCTTAGGCAAAGAAAGATCCAGAAATGACTAGCAACGCCAAAAATGTAATTTTCTTGTGGAATAGGCTCAGCTTTGAGAAAAACAAAGGGGGGTGGGGAGAAGGGTGTCATGGTACTGCTGTCATTTCTCTTTTAACATGAAAAGGTAAACCATGACATGCCAGATCAATCTTCCTTGGTGGGAGAAAGAGTTGGGAAAGTTATGGGGGTGGGGAAGCATAATGCACGTTAAGAGAAATTACAGATTGGCTGTAGTATTCTTTAAAAGTTTAGTTGGAGATAAAGCTAAAAAAGGTAGGTTAGGGACAGATTGTGGTAGAACTTGAATGTCAGTATAAAGTAAGTAGTAAGGAACCACTGAAAATGAGGAACAAAACAATGAAATCGTGCTATGGCTTCTTTTCTAAGAAAGTGAATCTTGTTTTTAAAAGGTAGGAGCATTTGAGAAAAAAAATTTTAGTGAGGTGAGGAAGAAAAGCACACTTTTTATCAGAACATCTCAAAATAAAATGACTTTCAGTACTGTAGTAAGAACAGCAAAATAACTTTAAAATGGATTTTTGCTCAAGAGGATCTTACAAAAACAAGTTACAATGGCAACATTTTTGTGATATGGATAAGGTAAGTTTTTCTAATTCCTATCTTATTGCTATTTGTTCAATGGCATGAAAAGTATGAAACATACTCCCTTTTGTTTTCTTATAAGTTGTTTTTGAGTGTTTAGCATATAGTACATAGTGACAATAAAAATGAGGATCTCTCCTGCAGATATTTAGCTCTTCTGTTCTCTCCCCCTTAGAAGAGAAATCAAAAATTAGTTCTTAGCCTGCATCAGAAGGTACTTAATAATCTGAATTCCTGACAGTGATAAGAATTGTTCTGATGCCCTATCTCTTTGCAAAGAGATAATAAGAAAAAAGTCCTGGAGCAGAGAGGGAAGGAATTTATACTGTATATAACATCATGAAATAATAAAGACCTTCCTTTCACTTTCAAGAGCTGCTTAAAAAAGAGGTGAAATAATTTCTTATTTGTCTTGAGAGAGAAAACTGACAAAGCAAGTGTAGCAGGGGTTGTACCCCAGGGAGCTTTCAAAGGTGGGCCTGCAGAGCTCCCCTAGCAACCTCTGAGGACTTCTGTGGCACTGGAAGACTGCATTTTAAGAAATCATCTCTATGTTGGCCTTGAAGCAGGAAGAGGTAATGACTCAGTGCACCTTAAAAAAGGAATGATCCACCCTCAGCCCTTCTTTTCCTTCTACTCATTATGTGGCAAGTAGTTTTCTCTCTCACCCCACCCTTTCCCATGAGGGGTGGAGGAGGCAACTGGTGCTCTTTCTCCTACCTTGGCAGAAATGGAAATTTCAAGCATGTGGCAGCTAGAGCAAGGGGCCTCGACAAGAACAGTTGAGCCTGGGCCTTGGGTGCCTCCCCCCTTTTTCTGCTTTGTTTTAGGATCCTAAGTGCTAGCCAAGAAGGCAACCTTGTGAGTTCAAGAGGGCTGGACATCTTGGGTCCCTTAGTCATCGATGACTGGCTCTTAAAGAGGAGGCCCCAGGTTTCCAATAAAGTGACTGCCCTCAGGAGGATGAGACCAAATCCTGATTTGACCTGCAAGATAGCATGGACCTGGGGAAGTTTGTTTAGGCAGTGCCAAATTGAGGTGAAAATCCAAAATGCAAATTTAGCAACCCCACTTTATGTCATATACTTACTATCTTATACTCTCCCAAGAGAGTTTATCAGTAGTTTCTAGGTTCTGTTTCTAGTCAGGGTAGGAACCCAGTTTTTTCTTTTTAAGAACTCTGGGGCATAACTCATTTTTGCCTTTTTGCTCCAAGATATCTGATAGTTCCAAGTTGCTTCTCAGTCCTAAATGGGGACCGATGTCCTGGTGAACTAGAAATTCCAAGTTCTCAAACCCCTGTCACACTAGACTTTTAAGTTCCTCGATGGTAAGAACAGCATTAACAAATAAACAAACATATTAATTGCTTACTACTGTGCTAAGTATATAAATGCAGAAACAAATCAATCTTTGTCATTTAGGAGCTTATATTCTATCACAGAGAGACCACACACACACACACACACACACACACACACAGGGGTGGTGGCCAGGGGGATGTTTTGTTTTGGAAAGTCACAAGGAGAGTGAGTAAAGCCATAAGGGAGTAGGATGACACTCTTTCCAGTAAGAATAGCAGTACTGGAAAAGGATTAGATGGAGGGTATGGGAGGCAGCTGACAAGACTGCTGGTGATAAAAATGAAACATGGCTGGAACTAGCCAAAATATAGGAAGCCACATGAGGCATGTAGGAGGGGACTGAGGTCAAAGTAAGAGTTCTGGATCTGAAAGAGTTAAGACCTACAGGACATGTCCTCTGATCTAGGCAGCAAGAAAACTAGCAAGACCAGAGAGAAAGTATTTCTGTAGCTTTGTATCCTGTACATCCTTATACATGATAGGTACCTAAATGTTTCTTGAATGGAGTGAAAGAATTCTCACAATGCAATCATATCTCAGGTTCTGAAAATAAAAGGATGATCTTTTTATTAGACTGTAAGGTCCCTTCAGGGCAGCTAGGTAGGTAGATAGAGTGCTGGCCCCTGAAGTCAGGAAGACTCATCTTCCCGAATTCACATCCAACCTCAGACACTTACTAGCTCTGTGACCCTGGGCAAGTCAGTTCACACTGCCTCAGTTTTCTCATCTCTGAAATGAGCTGGAGAAGGAAATGGTAAACCACATAAGTATTCTTGCCAAGAAAAACCCACAGGGGGTCAGGAAAAGTTGGCCATGGCTGAACAAGACAAAAGGTCCCTTCCAGCTCTAAATCCTACGATCATAACGCCAAAATACCCTAGTAATCATGAATACTTTTTTATGTACGTTATTTCATTTTAGCCTTACAACAGTCCAGTGAGGTGGCAGTCAATAAGAGTTTTTAATGCCTGTTTTGTGAATGAGAAAATTGAGACCCAGAGAGGTTGAGTAACTTGCCCATGGTGACAGAGTTACTAAGTGTCAGAAGCAGGATTTGGATCCAGGTCCATCATTCTTTCTACTACAACAGGCTGTGTCTCCACTGAGAAAAAACTAAAAATGCTCAGATTTCAACATAGAAAAGTGAAATTTCATAGTACGTTGAAGAACTAGTGCAAGAAACTACAGAAGTCAGTAAATGTATCAGGCATGGATAATGAATGGGCAAATAAATTATTTTATTGAAATAAAGGAACTCACTAAATATCCCTTAGATACAAAATCCATTGACCTTGGGAAAAAAAGCTGGTAATACAAACTTAATGCCAGCAATTGAAATATAATGTCCAAAATGCTTCTTGCAGTTTCTTAAATATCATCTGCATCTGATTTCTAAGTAGAGAGAATATATCAGCATCAAATGTATTCATATGTGTGTATATGTTCATTTAATACATCAGTATTAATTTCTGTTAAGTCAAAAATAAGATCATAGAATAAGTATTGCCTATGTGCATTACCAACACATTGACACACACAAACAGAGAAAGATAAACACTTTTTATTAACAGCATAAAACTGGCATTTATTATACTTTAATATTTCAGCATATCCATCTACATGAGTAATTTCTCCAGGGATGCAGTATAACTCTTCAAATATTCTCATCCTATCCATTTCTCATCTAGGTTCTCCCAATTCTGGACCCAGTATTGAATAAGAGAAGGAGCAAGATAGATTGGATTTGGTAAATTTGCTGCACTTTCAATGATCCCAAGCTGTTCTGTGATAGAACTTATATTTTTACATATTACATTTGAAACTGCTGACTACCATCTCCTCTTGGATATTCCTTTCTCTGCGGTTTTTTTTTGGGGGGGAGAGGCGATTGGGGTTAAGTGACTTGCCCAGAGTCACACAACTAGTGAGTGTTATGTATCTGAGTCCACATTTGAACTCAGGTCCTCCTGACTCCAGGGTCAGTGCTCTATCTGCTGTGCCACCTAGCTGCCCCACTCTGTGTGTTTTTGTAACACTGATCTTTCTTAGTTTTCCTTATACCTACCTGCTTGACTGCTCCTCAGCTCTGTCCTGGGCCCTCTGCTGTAGTCACCCAGGTTCACAACCTCAGTTGTTATCCTTAACTCCTCATTCTCACTCACTCCAATATGTCCCAATAGCTGGTTGCCAGATATCATCATTTCTACCTCCATAATATCTCTCACAGTCACTTCCTCTCCACACAGACACCATCATAGTTCAGGCTGTCATTACCACTCACTTGGACTATTGTAACAGCCTTCTAATTGGTCTTCCTGCCTTAAGTTTCTCTCCACTCCAATCTATTCAGCACACATTGCCAAAGTGATTTTTCCTGAAGCATAGGTCTAACCATGTCATCCCCCTAATTCGGCAAACTCCAGTGGTTCCTTATCCCTATTAGGATTCGATAGAAACACTTCTATCTAGCATTTAAAGTTCTATACAAACTTGTCTCATTCTACTTTTCCAGTCTTTTTACAGATTATTCCTCACCGTATATTCTAGAGGTCAGCCATTGTGTCTTCTTTGCTGTCCCTAGTACATGATACTCCCATTTCCCATCTCTGTGCCTTTGCATAGGCTATCCCTATAGTAGGAATGCTCGCCCTCATCTAGCTCCCTTTAAGACTCAGCTCAAGCACCACTTTCTGCATAAGGTCCCTCCTGGTTCCCCCCACTATGCCTTTAAACCCAAATCATTCTGGCTTTCATGGATTAGCCAATAGTAGGTCCAGCCCAAACCTCTTGTTTATTGTTTGGATTTTGATGGCTTAGAGTAAGTGTAAACAGCAGTTATTTTCTGTTCTGGCCAGAAACTCTGAAGGTCTTCCCCTTCCAGGCTTACATGATGACTAACTAGGCTATCTTTTGAATCAGTTCTTACCAACCCCTAATCACTGAATGGGTGTTGCCTCAGACAAATGGAGACCTGGGAAAGAGGTTAGCTTAAAAGGGCCAAGGTCTTCCACTGCATCCTTTTTGTTTTGCTTTGTTTTGCTTGGAGGCAATAGGGGTTAAGTGACTTGCTCTGGGTCACATAGCTAGTAACTGTCCAAGGTCGGATTTGAACTCAGGCCCTCCAGGGCCAGTGCTCTATCCATTGAGCTACCTAGCTGCCCCTTTTCCACTGCATCCTATGCCATCACCAGTGATCTTGACATGTCTTTCCACTGGACTCATGTGACTCTGAAGGAGAGGGTGAGACTGATGCCTTTGCACAGCTCTGCCTCACTTAAATCCAGTCCACTCACAAGTCAAGACAATACCCTTGTGATGTCATTGGTCCTCTTTGGAGAACAAAGGATGAACAATAATAACCATGAACCTGTAAGTGTTCTAACATTGTTTCCCATGTTAGAATGCAAATACCTAGAGGGCAGAGACACTTTTCCTTTTTTTCTTTCTATCTCCAGGACCTAACACAATACCTGGTCTCCAGTAGGTACTTAACACATGATTGATTTACTGAGTTCACACAAATGTTTTTCCAGTGATGCTATAGGGAATATGAATCTTTAATAACTACAATTTCTGAAGTATTAAACTGTGGGTGACCAAAACAGAAACATATA